AACATACTTTCAAACACCCAATTAAATTTGCATAAATATCATACAAAGTATTTTATAGCCTTGCTTCAAAAAAAAAATATAGCGAGAGAGTCAATTCCCTAAATTGGACTAAAAATGTATTTAATTGTCAAAACTATCCTTGATGAATTTTTAATTGTACTTACAATTAAAAATAATTAAAAAGCGTACAACTCAAGAAGGAAAACACGCCCACCCAACTGCCGCCGTCAGAAAACAATTTGCAACCACCCACTCGCGCCACTCCCATCTCTGCCGCTGATGTAACTCTCGATGGCACCACCGCCGTTAATTCTGGCACCACTCCTGGCACCGCCCACACTGTCACTTTGGCACCTCCGCTAGTTACTCGTCCGTTTATGTCATGTTACTACAATTTTTGAAAGAAAAATGACATATTATATTAAATCAAACTCGCACACAATTAGGAGAATTGCAAATAATAAAGTAAACCATCTGACACTACCCTCCATCTAAACTAACATAACCATAAGCCCATCGGCCCCCTCACTTCTTTATCAGACATAAAGTAGTCCACTCCAAAAAGAGCGAGACTAATTGCTGAAAGTGTGAGCGCTTTGAGACTATTAGCGGCTAAGTCAACCTGATTGCCTCTCAACATAAATCTAGCAACTAAGGTAAACCAAACTAAGAACCCACCACTCATATTATTTGACCTAATAAAAACAAAATAAAGATTAACAAACAGAGCATAACAAAAATAAATAAACTTCAGCTTGTGAAAGAGCGTAATGCGTCCTTCAAGCATCTTCTTCCAGACCCTAGTCACGCATTACCTCTGTGGCAGTGGTTAAGGAGGGGGCCACATCATCCATATACTATCTTCTTCCTCCACCACCTGAGGCGGTCAAAACAACTGCGCCAATCCCCCAATCGCTGATTGGATCCCAAGCTCGACCCCTTTAATCGGGACCCATATCACCAGTGTTCCACCCGGATCAAACACATCTAATACAACCCCCATCTCAATCACCATCAGAGCCAAAGTAGTCAAATCAAGCATCAGAAAATCGGGTCTCACAACCCTAGCCGTTGCAGATCCACGATCGCCTTCAAAATCACTGAAATCCATTGACACCAATTTGAAAAACACCAAATCCATGATCTTCTTTGTCCGTGGGTATCTCCCGTATCTCCCGCCCTCTTATTGTCGCCTGACTAATTTGAAATGTCGCACCACCGGCAAAAAAAAAAACGTCGCACCACCGGCAAAAAATAAAAAAAGTCAATTTAATAAAATTAGAAATTGGGATTTCGTACAGAAATTCAACAAAAGCAGAAATCAGAAATACATCACCAATGTTTAAAAATAAAAAATTAGATGCTAAAACTCAGAAATTTAATTAAATCAAATAAACCTAACCAAAACTACTAAACACAATGACAAAATCAGATTTTTAGATGAAAATCATAGGAGAAAAAAGAAGAAGAAATTAAAAGAAGAATAAGGGCGAGAAAAATGAAGAAGAAAAACTTGGTGGCTCCAGTTAGGAAGATTCACGAAATGTAGTAAAAACGTTTTGAAAATTTCAAAATAGATCTGTCATGTTTATATTTTTTAAATAATACTCCATCGGTTAAATTTGGAAAATATCGCTGAGTTTAAATTTCGATACTTCTGTTTATGAAAAAAAACATAATTATCATATTTTACAATACATAATGGTTTTTAGTCTTGTTGAGGGCAATTTGCCCTCATGTTATGCAACTCCTCTTTTTTTTTGGATAAAATGTAAATTATATTACCTCCCAAGCAAAATTTAAAAGTTCAACGTGTCCAAAAATCAAAAGTCTCCCCTCCCCCCTATTTCGTGAGAAAAGGAAAGGGTGAGAAGAGGCTAATAGTTTAGTCTAAGTCCAAAAATATGCGGTCAATAAGTCAAAAATAAAAACTATAGTGGTGCTAGAAGGTGCAAGTCCTCTTTTTTTTTTTTTTTTTTGGATGAAATGTAAATATATATTAACACCCAGAAAATTATACATCAAGTGTCCTAGATCTCCTAAACCCCCCACCCCCACATAAAGTGGGGGTGAAAGGAGGTTTTTTCTCGATCTAATCCACATAAAAAAAGGACAAGTATGAAACTTGTCCAAATAAAAAAAGAGCATAAACATCAGTGCTGCCTAAGCGCACACACAGATCGGAGGCTAAAAAAACCCAACAAAAATACATAGTTGTTGTAAAAAACAAACACCTAAAAAATCGACGACCCTGCTTCATGCCGCGACATCCAAGATGTCCATGCCACGGTGTCCAAGTGTCTAAGCCGCGGCATCCAAATTGCAAGTCCTCTTTTTATTTGAAGGGTAGTGGCGTAGTGCAAATTCTCTATTCTATTTTACTACGGTTTTTAAACCAGAAACGATTCTACCCAAATACAGCAGCGTTCTGTATGTCACACTCACGAGTATCAATTTCCATACAACTGAATTTCCCACCAAAAAGATACCGCTCTCCTCTCTACTTCCGCTGCTTACCCCCCACCCCCACCCCTACGCCTTTCTCGTTTCTGCTGAACCAAGAACCTCCCCATCTTCACCCCTCTAAGATTCTTCGAAAAAAGGCGAGATTTTTCCTTCTGGGGGGTTCTCCCGTGCTGCAGCAATGGCGCAATGGATTACGCCTCTTTTCCTGACGATCGCCGCCGTCCTCATTTCCATTCCCCAATCTCTCTCTCTACAGAGTACGTTCATCTCCAAGATCTCTCCGTTCCTCGCATTTACTCATTTTCTTGGTTTTTCATAAGTTTTTTTTTTCACATTTACGCAGATCCCAGTTATCTAAATTTTGTGGTGAACGCGACGCAATTGCCACCGGAAGAGTACTACGATTACATTGTCGTCGGAGGCGGCACCGCCGGCTGCCCACTGGCGGCGACACTGTCGGAGAGGTTTAAAGTCCTCGTTCTTGAAAGGGGCGGGGTTCCCTACGGAAACCCAGATTTGATGACTCAAGAAGGGTATCTCACAGCCCTCACGGAGGTCGACGCCTTTGATTCCCCTGTACAGGCCTTCACCTCCGAGGAAGGCGTTCCGAACGCCCGCGGCCGCGTTCTTGGCGGCAGCAGCACCATAAACGCCGGGTTCTACAGCCGGGCAGATGAAGGGTTCTATCTCAGGTCAGGGATCAACTGGGACATGCGATTGGTGAACCAATCTTACGAATGGGTGGAGAGACTCATCGTATTCCGGCCGGAGCTCCGGACCTGGCAAATGGCGGTGAGGGACGGGTTGCTGGAAGCCGGAATCGACCCCTACAATGGCTTCAGCTTAGAACACGTTCTTGGCACCAAGATTGGTGGGTCCACCTTCGACCCCACCGGAAGAAGGCACATCTCAGCCGACCTTCTTGCGTACGCCAACCCTTCCAACATCCAGGTGGCCGTCCACGCCACCGCAGAGAGGATTCTGCTCAGAAAACGCACGGCGGCCGGAGTTGTTTTCCGGGACCGGAACGGCAGGTATCACCATGCCATGGTTAGGGGTAAAGGCGAAGTCTTGCTCTCCGCTGGAGCTCTGGGTACCCCTCAGATCCTTCTACTGAGTGGAATCGGCCCAAGACCATACCTATCTTCTTTGGGCATTCCGGTCTCCTTCCACTCACCTTACGTAGGGCAGTTTCTGTTTGACAATCCAAGAAATGGAATCTCCATTGTCCCTCCTTTACCCCTAGGGCACTCTCTGGTTCAGGTTGTGGGGATAACAGAGTCAGGTGCTTACCTAGAAGCTGTTTCTAATGTCATCCCTCTATCTTCCCCTACCCCACACCCCTTCTTCACCGGAACTCCATATGCTCCTCCGGTTTACTACCGGACAGTGGCAACAATCTTGGAGAAGGTAATAGGGCCTTCATCTGCAGGGTCACTGAGATTGGCCTCAACTGATATTAGGATGAACCCCTTGGTCAGCTTTAATTACTTCAATGACAGGGGAGACCTTGAGAGGTGCGTGAATGGGAGCAGGATGATAGGGGAGATTTTGAGGACTAGCTCAATGGAGGCTTTCAAGTTCACCCAGTGGTTTGGTGGTAGGGATTTCGTGTATGTGGGGCCCGCTTTGCCCGAAGACCAGTCCAGTGATGTTCTGATGGAGGAGTTTTGCCGGCAGACTGTTAGTACCATCTGGCATTACCATGGTGGCTGTGTTGTGGGGAAGGTTGTTGATGGAGATTTCAGGCTGGTTGGGATTGAGTCTCTCCGGGTCGTCGACGGATCAATCTTCACTGTTTCACCCGGGACTAATCCTCAAGCTACCCTTCTCATGCTTGGGAGGTGAGTGAATATATATTGCTCTCAGGTTATTCAACATGAAGTTAATTGGCGTACTAATACAACAGAGTTAACTTGTTTGGTTGTATCTTCTTTGCAGGTATGTGGGTATGAAGATGCTAAGAGAACGGTTGTGATAGAAAGTGACCAGATCATTTTTGTGACTGTTAGATTTGGTAGTGTTTTTTTTGTGGCTTATGAATATGGGCACTTCAGTAGAGAAGTTGAGGCAGGAAGAAAAGAGGGTAATTGGTGTTTTGTTTGCTGATACATTGATTAGAAGAGGAAAGTGAAGGCCTAATTGGTCTGCTATGGAACCAGTCTGCAGGGTCTTCATTGTGTACATAACCTGAGAGTTTCACTCCTTTCAATGCGCATTCCTGATGTGTATTTTATGAAGTTTGTGCTTGCTAGTAAACTACTCATTTACCTGTATAATTGTCTGTCATTGAATTGAAGACCAACTGCATTTTTTCATTGCATTACAAGCAAATGAACTGTTATATACTGACATACTGTGTAGTAGCTAGTAATTCTGTGGGTTTTGGGTAGTACGAAGTATCTATTACTCGTATTTTTTTACTTATAACAAAAAGTATTTTAGTGGTAAAAATTGTGCACAAGCAAATTGCATGTAAAAAATGGAATGTTACAAAGATAGAGGATAGTAGAATTCGGTCATAATTATGTGCTGGTTAAACCACATTATTATTTAATGGAGATGGAAGAACACTATCTATGACAGAAATTTCAAAATCACATTTACAATAAGTGCAATCAATGCTCAAGTTCTCTTCGCCCGCATCCCAGCCCGTCTTCATACAAGAATGATCTCTTCTAGTGCAAAAAACTGGTTTTTGCCTATGAACCACAAAACTCTCAATCCAAATCTCTTTCAAGATCGATATTAGTTCCCGACGAGCTTCTCCAACTTTCACTCGCAATTCATCCGACTTCTTCATGGCACTCAACACCTCCATTCCTTTCTCCTTGTGTTCACCTCCCATGAATAGCATGGAAATTATGGAGATTGCATATACTGCTCCCACGTGTCCCGCATTCCCTGCCTTCCTCAAACACTTCAATGCGTATTCTTGTTCTCGTCCGCTAAAATAACCGACCTGCGATTAATTAAATATTAGTTGACTTAGTGAAGAATTTTATGTATTGATTTGGTATTATACGTATAAGATAAAAGATATTGATATATACCACTCCTGTCCTGAACAAAACTTCTAGATTCTGGGCATCCATACACTTGTTCAAAAAGGAAGCCACTTTTCTTTTCTTTTCATCACTTTCTGGCTTCCAACCCGAAATAACTGGGAAGTCAGCTAGAGATGCTTGTTTATACACGTTCACGTCATCCCCCAATTCATTCCACTCATGGCAGCTGCAAGGATCAATCAATATATCAAGTTATATATTAACACATACAAGTTAGTAATTAATTTATTGACTGAATGTTTATACAATTATATTGTTGCTATATACCTGAGTTTGGCATGAAGTAAATCCGGTAGAGAATGAGCAGCAACTCTGGCCAAAATACCGACTATAATATCCCGTGGAATGAGATTGATTCTCGTGGTTCTTTTGGTCTTTTTCCATCTTTTATTTGGGCTTTGGTGGTATGTTGCATATCCCATAGCTATTAATATTAATATTAATATTATTTTAAAGTGATACTAGGACTAAGGTCGTTGCTGGTGGCTTGAGAATATAGCAACCGATGGAGGTTTGGTCTCAATCTTACAGTATATTGTATACACTACGTATAACTCATTGTATGGAGAATAAAATTAAACAAATTTAGTTGTAATGAAGGAATAAAGGTGTAGCAGCAAGTATATATAGGCATATAGCATAGGTTAAATTAGGAAACTTCTAATCCGTGTAAAGTTAGGGATTGACTGAACGTACACAATAATTTGTAAACGAAATTGGACTCCCGTAAATAGGAAAGTAACAATTAGGAAAGTACTCATACTAGTTTCTACTGTATATAATAAGAGTAAAAACGAAACTACACTCACGTACGGAGTATATATTATAAAAAAATTACTCAAACTAAATATGTTTGTGATTTTTTTTGATCGTCAAACAAATGGCTTAAATTAAATCACAGCATTCAACAAGGGTACAAAATAACAAAAGGGCCACATGTAACCATCCGCTCTTGGCCGAGGCTTTGAGTTAATCACTTTTGACAAAGCCATATAACTCGCTAGACCTAATTTGGGCAACATAAAGCCAATGACAATTACCGTAAACCTCTTATCCCCCAAACTAATGTAAGAGTCTTACAACAAAAGAAAAAATAAAAGTAAAACAGAAAAGTCTGATCATGAAAATTAAAAAGCAATTCGCAAACAATAAAATTAAAACACGGCTTCCAAACCCTAAACTCTCTTGCACTCCATGGCGGCGGTTCAGGAGGGGGACGGTCGAACAGTACTGAAGCATCTTCCGCTCCTTGCCTCCGATCCAGATCTGAACCAGTCCCTAGCCTCACGTTTCGTCCATGACCTTTTGATCTTAACCATGAACGATACCCTTAGTATCAAGTGCAGCAATGCTGCTTGATTAACAACCTACCATGTTGCAAGGTTAGCGAATTTGTCAGGTCCTCAGGGGTTGGTCAGTTCTATGTCCCACCCGAGGATAACTCTGAGTTATTGGTTTGCTGTGTCCTTTGTCACGTTCATTATTATTAATACATAAGTATTCTTTTTAAAAAAAGAAAGGTCCACCACATCATCCTTAAATTCTCGTTTGGCGAACCACTATTAGCTAACCCACCACCCCCGGTTTTTGAAGGAGCATACTCCACCTCCATACAGTTGCTAGAATCAAGAGGTAGCTCCTCTTCAATCCTCTTCCTCTTATGGTGAGATTTTAGTCCCCGACTAGAGAGTTTGCCTTGTACTATTATCTCGTGATCCTCCTCCTTAGCATCCTCTGTCCCACATCTCCACATGTGCGCTACATTGTGGCCTATCTGATCGCTCCTACTACCGCCCTTGCCTGAACCATTCACATGTTGTGTGACACCGTCCCCAAGAATATTTACTTTTACCCAAGTATGTATTAAAAATTGAGAAATGAATTTTAGTGATTTTAATTTTTTCGTTTTTACTTTTATTTGAATAGTAAAATTTACGTGGAGCCCACACCAGGAGCGAAGAGTCGGAGACCACTCGATATATTCCAGGATCACCCAAATCGTGAAACCCGCCTTAAACACTTCACGATTGACTGAGCTTAAAAGTGACGTTGTACAGATGATTTTTTTATTACTCGTATTATTTATCAACCAATGCAAGAGGTCAACCTCATTTTATACGGAGTATCATCACTTATTTTTAAATCATTAAACAATTTGATGTTAGAGTGTTGCACTTTGAGTAGTTATGTTGGTCATTACTGGGTTAGTCCTTTGTAATATGTAAGGCGTCCAGGTTGTCTACATTGGCCATAGTATTACTTTTTATACGTATAAATTATACATAATGTGACTCCGTATTAAACTTTTAATAACGTTACTCCGTATTAATTTATTCTAAAAAGGATTCTTATGTAAATCCATTAGATTGTAATTTAATTGATGATGTAACTGAAATAGTTATACATCTATTAGAATCTAATCGTTTACATATATTAGAAAGAGAAAATCCCTGAACGGGATGAAAAAAATCTCAATATAGGAGTAAAAACGTTTTAGAATTTTGATATAGGGTTGTTGTATTATATTTTTACTCCCTAAATACGAGTAATTACTTATACTAAGGGAATAAGAACATAACAGTCGTGTTCTGGAATACATAAATGTTTTTACTCCTAAATCGAGATTATTTATACAACTATACTAATTTTTGTTCTTTTGATTACTCGCCCCAACATGATTTTTTCCTTGATCCGCGACTGAACTCGGGTACTAATATGGGACGTACAACTTTGTTGGCTACCTACTTAAAGGTATCATTGAATATTTTCTACTCCCTCCATCCCAATTCGATGATCTTGTTTCGTTTGAGCACAAAGATTAAGAAAGTGTGGTAGAAAGATTAAAGAATTTTACTTTATTGTACTGTTCATCCTTTTACTTTTACTGTTCATTAAAAAGGAGGGGTATAAATGGTAATCTACTTTTAATTCTTTACGAAAAAGGAAAACAAGACCATCATTTTGGGACATCCCAAAAAGGAAATACAGGACCATCATTTTGGGACGGAGGGAGTAATAGTTGACGTGTTTTTTAAGTTCGACTTATGGGGTGTTAACTAAAGAGTTTGATATGATAGTGCATTATATTTGACAATATATCCCTATTTTCTAACCCACTTGTTCATTTATATATATATATATATATATAGGAAAAACTTCCGGTAAGGTATACCTTACCGGAGCCGCCGTGCGGCCTCCACGTTTTGAGGGCCTTCCCGGTGGAATTTTTGGATGAAATTTTTTGAGCATGTTCTTCATCAAATCTATTACATCCATACCAAATTTCAGAAAAAAATGAAATGGGAAGGCAGTCAAACGATTTTTGGAAGATAACTGCGTTTTATATGTATATAAAGGTTGCAGTTATCTTCCAAAAATCATTTGACTGTCTTCCCGATTGAATTTTTTGCTGAAATTTGGTATGGATGTACTAGACTGTGAAATAATGGGAAAGAGGTACTCCAATTGGAGTCCTGGCATGTGTATATATAATGAGAGAGTTTAAGATACAAAAGGAAACAAATATTCCTAAATATATTCTATTACACCCCCTCAAACTGTGCGGGAGATACAATGCGCAGGTTGTCCTTCAAAAAATGAAATTGTTGACTAGAAAGGCTTTTAGTAAAAATATCAGCCAACTGTAACTGTGTAGGAATATACTTCACGATCAAATCGCCATGAGCTACACGTTCTCTGACAAAATGATAGTCAATCTGAATATGCTTACTGCGAGCATGCTGAACAAGATTAGCAGTCAAATAGGAAGCAGATATGTTGTCACAAAATAACCGAACAGGAGCCTTGACAGGAAAACCAAGCTCAAATAAAATGGAACGAATATGCTAGGTGTCCTGTACTGTGTAAGCAACAGCTCTGTACTCTGCCTCTGTAGAAGACTTGGAGACTGTAGGTTGCTTCTTAGATTTCCAGGAGACTAGATTCGGCCCTAAGAATATAGCAAAACCAGTCGTGGAACGGGATGAATCTGGACACCCAGCCCAATCAGCATCAGAATAAGCGATTACACAAGTCGCCTGTGTGGTAGGGCTCAACCATAAACCATGATCCAAAGTCCCCTGCAAATACCTGAAAATTCTCTTGACTGCAAAAAAAATGAGTAGTACGAGGAGCATGCATAAACTGAGACACTAAATGTACAGCATAGGTAATATCAGGTCGTGTCAAAGTTAAATATTGTAACGCACCAACCATACTACGATACTCAGTGGCATCTGCAAGAAGTTCGCCATCAATGAGAGAGAGAGAGAGAGGTGCGGGTAGCCAGAGGTGTACGAACAGGCTTAACTGTATGTAAATGAAAACGAGACAGAAGATCACTCACATATTTGTGTTGAGAGAGAAACAAACCTTTGTCGGAACGTTTAGCCTGGACTCCAAGAAAATAATGAAGATCACCTAGATCCTTCATAGCAAAATGCTGAGCAACAAGATGAATAAGGGAAGAAACAAGAGAAGACGAATTTCCAGTAATAATAATGTCATCCACATATAATAAATAAATGACACAATTATTCTGACGATATATAAACAAAGAATTATCCGACTTACTGCATGTGAAGTTATGAGACAATAAAAAACTACTGAAACGATGGAACCATGCCCGCGGGGCCTGCTTCAGCCCATAAAGGGCTTTTCGCAGTCGACATAAATGATTAGGAAACAAAGGATGAGTAAAGCCCCGTGGTTGACGCATATAAACTTCCTCAGTAAGGTGACCATGCAGAAAGGCATTTTTGACATCCAATTGACGAATAACCCACCCAAAAGAAATAGCTAAAGAAAGCACAACCCGAACAGTGATGGGTTTAATAACCGGACTGAAAGTTTCTGAGAAATCTACACCAGCCTGCTGACTAAACCCCTGAGCAACTAAACGCGCTTTATGGCGCTCAATAGACCCACCAGAATTGTATTTCGTCTTATAAATCCACTTAGAGCCCACAACATTTTTAGTGCTATCAAACGAAACTAATTCCCAAGTATTATTAGAAATAAGAGCATTAAATTCCTCTGCCATTGCCTCACGCCATTTAAGATGTTTATTTGCCTCTGAAAAACAAGTAGGATCTGCTGATAAAGCAACTGTATTTAAATTAAAAATAGATTTTGGTTTGAAAATGCCCGACTTAGCCCGGGTTTGCATGGGATGAAAATTATGTGTGGCTGCCGAAGGGGATGGAGGCGGACTAGGTACAGCGGACTGAAAATTCACCGGGCTATCATCGGACAAGGCAGCGGCGGACTGATCGGGCTTAGGTAGTGATGTCGTGGGGGACTGGGGCGAGTGCAGGTCGGGAGAGGGAGGCGAAGATGGCTGGGGCGAGGGTGGTGATGTGAGCTGGTGGGAGGTGTGGTCGGCAGAAGAGGTATTGTCCAGCTGTTGTGGAATGTGGATGGGAGAAGTATGGGATGTTGTGACCTGCGAAGTGGGTGCAGACGTGGGAGTTTGGTCAGGGAGGATGGAGAGAGTGCGGTCTGGGATTTTGGGAGAGGCGGTGGTAGTAAAATGGAAATCAGTGGGCGTAGACGAAGGTGTAAGATCAGACGTAGA